ATCTGTTTTATTATTAAAATTCAATCGATTGATTAATCTGGATCGAATATTATTAATACCTGTAAAAACTTAATGCGTTTAATACCTAAACTATCAATTTTGATTCATTTTATTACCTAATCTTTCAAAAAAAAATTCAAAATTTAACGTTAAATTTTTGAACGGGTATACTTAAATGAAACAAAAACTAAACCTTATGTATGATTTGAAAACATTAAAAGTTGAGTACTAAAACGGATTAAAACATATAATTTAAGTATTAAATATGTAATTTATCCTTAAATTTAAAAACTTATTTTAGAGGCATTGAACATGTTACCACGTCCAACTAGAATGTTGTTTTTATGTGTGTGTTAAGTCGGATGCAATTACAAATTTCCATCTTAAAAATAGGTCAAGTTCATATTAAATAAAATTCGAATCAATCCAAGCAGGCCGGCTCTAAGAGGAACACCCTGAACAACCGCTCAGGCACCCAAATTTTTTTGTATTTATAATTAATGTTCCTAATTTTTTATATTTATAATTAGGATCTTTTATTTTATAATTTTATAAAATTTTTAGTTTTTGATCATCTTTTTCATTTATCTTATTAATTCATTCAGTTTTGAATTAAATATAATTATTTTTTATATTTATTATTAGGCCCCTTATTTTTATAATTTCATTATATGTTTAGTTTTGACTCTCTTTTTCCATTTCTCTTATTTACTCATTCAGTTTTAAATTAAATTTAATCTTATTTTTCTCCTTTTTTTCAAATTTTACTCTTCAATTTATCGAATATTCTTTAATTTTTAGTCTTCTTCATTCTCAATCTAATAATAAAATAATATACAATTCTTTTTATTTATTTATTATTCAAAATCAAACTATGTATCATATATATATTTAATTTTTTAATATTTATTCTCTTTTAGTTGTATTTAAGTTTAAGGTGTTTTCTTAATAAAAATAATATATTTTCACAAAATATAATCATTTTCTATGATTTATTCATATAATATAAAATTAATTGCTCAGAGTATACTTTCATTTTGTAAAGGTATATTTTTGAATTTTCGCTCAGGACTTCTAAAATATCTGAAATAACTTTGAATCCAAAGACAGATAAATAAATATAATATTTAGGTTGAATCGATCGAAAACCCGACCTAACCAAACTCGTACGTACCCTTGTATGTAAGCGTGGAAAAGGGAAGTAGAGTCCTAAATTTGGTAGTTTTTTTGTTGTTAATTGGATCGTCGTTTGTGTTGGAAGATATGCAGTGTCCAATATGGAGGAAAGACAAACCTCTCTCAGCTTGGATTCCCTAAGATTTTTGTCCCCCACTCGTGCACTTTTTTTTTATTCTTTTCCAATATAATTTATCCTTTTTTAATATAATTGAGTCCTTGACTATTAAAAATATAAAATAATCATTTGATTATTCATCATGTTTCAAGTTCATTTTTTTCTATAAAAAATTAACGATCGTATGAGTTGAACGTTAATATATTGACTGAGAGGTGATAGTCATTCGAGATTAGTCTGGCCAATTATTTTTTAAGTATTAATTAATATTGAAAATATATAATTTTTGAAAGAAAAAAAAATTACCATGCCTCCTCAATTAAAAAACTTTTTTATGGAAAATAAAAAATATTTTAGCCCCTGTAATAAATTCGTAATTCTGCCCCTGATTATGAGATCATATTTTATCATATCTCAGTCAACAAGTTAGCGTATAACTCATATTAATGTTAAAATTTTAACAAAAATGACGAATTTGAAACATAATGAATAATTGGATGATCATTTCGTAACTTTTAATAGTCGATGTATAAAACAAAATATTTTTCTATAATTAGATAATCATTTTATAATTTTTAATAGTAAAGTAACTCAATAAAATAGTTTTTTATAATCAAAAAATTATTTATGTATTTTATCCTAATAATAATGGATTGAGAAAGTGATTAAAGTCAAAAAGCCTATAATGCAAAAAAAAAAAAAAAAAAAAACCAACAGCTGGAAAGGATAAAAAGTATTAGGAACCGCAAAATTAGGGAGGATGAACGGAATAAATCCTATTACAAAAATCTTTTTTTTATTATTAATAGGATAGTATAATGCAATATTTATTTAAAAATAATTTTTAATTATTTAGTATTAAACGCTTACATCTTTGACATTTTCGATATTTAAATCCGAAATCTCAAAGAATAATAATAATTTTTTTTATCATTGAGGTCGGTCGATTGGTATCTTATTATCAAAATCTAAATTATTTTATTTTTATATCATATGGTAGGTAAAACAACAAGCTTCGAGATATCATTAGCTCGTTGAATTCTCTCTTAATTATATTTGTTGGAGCCTACTGATTTTTTCTTCTTCTTTTTTTAATAAGGAGCCTATCGAATATTAACTCGGTTATCATTATTATTGTTATATTTTTTTGAATAGTTTATTATTGTAAATAAAAAAACATTAGTTTAAATGTACTTAAGCAGTTATCTTTGATTTTAAAATTAAAATGTTATAGATAATTTAAAGGGTAAATTACACGTTTATTATCTAAACTATCAATTTTAGTCTTTTTTGTATCTAAACTTTTATTTTTTTTAAATCATATATAATTTAGTTTCTGTTTTATTTTAGTTTCTCATGGTTAAGAACTTAACGTTACATTTTTTATGGGTAAATTACATCATTCATCACTCAACTATCTTCTCACTCCTATTTTAGTACTAAAGTTTAAATTTTTTTAATTTAACTATTAAACTTTTGAATTGCTTATATTTTAATCACTCTAATTTATTTTATTAATAATCTTTGTGATGTTTAATTTTTTATTATTTTGTTAATATAAAATTAAAAATATAAATTTTTTTTGAAAGTTAGAGTGTTTAAACTAGGAGTAAGTTGAAATTTAATTAGTAATTAAATTTTAAAAATTTAAACTTTAATGACTAAAATTGGAGTGAAATTATAGTTGAGTGGTGCATGATGTAATTTGCCCATAAAAAAGGTATCACATGCAATCACTCGTTAAGTTTTAAACACCAAGGTACTAAAATAAAAACTAAACATTAGATATGAATTTGAATAATCGAAAGTTTAGGTATTAAAATTGATCAAAATTGATAGTTTAGATACTAAATGTGTAATTTGCCCTAATTTAAATAAGATAAAAGTACATGAATGGTACCTTGACTATAGAGTACTACTTTATTAAGTCTCTCGACTATTAAAAGTTACAAAATGATCCTTCAGCCATAGAGTGTTGCTTTGTTGAGTCCTTCGACTATCAAAAGTTACAAATTGGTCACCCAACTATTCACTATATTCCAAACTCATCATTTTCCGTTAATAATTAACAATAATCTAAGTTGAACATTACTTGTTGATTGTGATATGATAAAACATGATCTCATAATCTCAAACAAATATCACATCTCAGTCATCATGTTAACGTTCAACTTAGACAACTGCCAACTTTCTCTGACGAGTTTGGAACATAATGAATAGTCGGGTGATATTTTTGTAACTTTTAATAGTCGAGTAACTCAACAAAGCTAACACTCTATAGTCAAAAGATTGTTTTATAACTTTAATAGTCGATGGACTTAATAAAACGATATTCTATAATCATGAAACTATTCATGTACTTTGTCTATTTGTATATTATAATTTGTACAATAATAATTACGTATAATACATAGAAATATAAAATAAAATCACGAATTTCAACGAAAAATGTTTGCTTTTGTGACGATCGAAGTAACTTTAACAAAATTTCAACTTTAAGTAAAGTGGTATGCCCCAATGTCATCCAACTCCGACCAACCACCAACCGGAAACAAAAGCCTTGAAGCATTAGCACAGTAGTACATGAATTTGAATTTAAGACATCTTGAATTTTACATGTTTGAAACATTTACTGCTAAATGTCTCTCTGGGTGTGGGAAAGCTGCCATGCCTTGCCTGCACCAAATATTTAAAGCACAACCCCTGTCCTTTAAAAGACCATCTTCTTTTGGTGACCAAACTTTGATTGAGGCAAATCTGTCAGCAAACTGTACCATTCAACATTCATGTAGGGACCCCTTCGCATTGTGATCCAATCATACTCAAATCTCAGTATATGTTTTGTATAACATATATACATAACTATTGAATCTAACATCTTAAATAAAATTAATATTCTTAAATCATTAAAACCGTTTGATGGATTTTATTTAATTTTATAATTAATATTATTCTAAAAATTAATCGTGTATAACTCTGTAATTACGTTTAAGGGTGCCTACGATAGCGAGTTGGGTGGTGCATGACTTGTGCTCGTTAAAAGGTTTTATTGCTCGACTCGATTCGTTGTTTGTTAAACTCGTTAAAATTTTATTTAACTTGTGCTAACTAAAAATACTTGTTGCCTGTTAAACTCGATGTCCGTTGCTTACCTCGTTGCTTGTAAAGTTCACCAAAACTTTTACCTTATCTTCTTAACTATATGTAAAATCTACTAATACTATATATAGTTTAATATGAACTTAAATTAATAAATTTAATCAAAAAATATCAAAAGATATTTCAAAGTCTAAAATCCAAAATAATACTATATATATATTAAAATAATAAATAAAGTTTGATTTTTGAATATAGTAAAATATTAATAATTTAATTTTTTTTGTTTATTAAAAAATTAATAGATTAACAATTATTATCTTTTTATTATCTATTAATGTATTAATAAATTTTTTAATGGAATAAATTTTTAAGATAATTATCAAAAGGTTATATATAAAAAAATTACCGAGTTGTTCGTAAAGTTATCAAATCAAATTAAATTTTAATTGATTCAAGAGTGAACCCAAATCAAAACTTTTATCAAATTTTAACCGGATCATGCTCACCAACAGCCTATATATTCTCTGCTATAAACGAAATAGGGTAGTTGCGGATTAAATAATTTTATTAGAAATTTGAATCCTCGGAAAGTTGTAATGGCAACAAAGAAAGGAAAGAAGATATATATGTATGAACATAATAAGATTTGATTAGTGTTTTGAGATGAAAATTACTTGAACCGGACATCATTCAAATCGAACCAGATTTGCTTGAAGACCATGATGATAAGTTCATGGTATTCATCAGAATTGAGAGAGAGATAACAGGCAAGCAGATCCTCCAACTCCTTTGATGTCCTAATGTTGTTCTCCAGAATCATCTCCACCATCGATTCCCTGAAATCCCTCTGGGGATCAAACGACGATTTCACCACCGCCAAACTCTCCGAAAGGGTACTCCTCTTCGAGCTCGAGCCCGAACTAGTCGACGACATGCTTTTCCGACCATGACCCTGGTTAAACCTCCTGTTCCCGATTCTCGGAGAGTGTGTTCGAAGCCTGACACCGGAAGAATTGACACTGAATTTCTTTACGGGACCGGTGTTGTGTTTCTTCTTGATGTCTTTTATCATGTCGTTGAACTTAGCCGGTTTCGTTACGATCGGAGGGAGCTCGATCCCGGGCATCTCGTTGATTTTCTTAACATCGGCGTCGGATGATTCCAACGGGGAGCTGTCGTCAGAAGACGACAAGGACGAGGAAGAAGCCGAGTAATCCGGCGGAGAATCAGCCTTACTCCACACCGTCTTACGGCAGCTACAACCGGTGGAAACGGAGGAAGTTATCACCGTGGACGGAGGCTGCGGCGACGACGACGACCTGAAGTTCCTTCTCCTGGAATGATATCGTTTCTTGCAAGATTTTCTGGGCGGCGGCTCAGGCGAAACGTAAAATCCGTCGAAGGGAGCAAGCTCCCTGGAGAAATAATAAGATTTTCTGGGACTAAGATCGTGCTGCTTCGATTTTGACGGCGTTCTTTCGTCGGAAAGATGAGTGTTTCTGGGTCTGCGCATGTCTTTGAGCTTGTAAAACCAGGTATTGGGGATCATATCTGATAACTTGAACCTGTAATTCCCCATTCAGAAATCTGGGTTTTCTTTTGAAGATAATGGATGAACACACTTGGATCAGTGTGTTCTTGAGAAATGGGATTGACTGACTGATGAAGAAGAAGAGAAGAGAAGGGAAGGTGTATAAAAACAGAAAAGTGTGACTACAAATTAAGATTGGGTCCACAAATGGAAGCAAAAAAAAAGTTGGCATAAAGGAAAAATGAATAATATCAATGGGCCAGGTGAGAGTTGGCTATTATTATAATATTCTTTTACGAAAGCGATAAGAACTAATGTTATTATTTAAAACTTTGTGTTCGGGCATCATGAATTTAAAAAATACGAATGTTTAATGTTAAAAAGTTAAAAATTATCTTTGAATAGATTTTATCTTGTATTTATCTCAGATTAATAAAAGAATTATTCTTCACTTTTAATATCTGAGAGACAATGAATTTCTATGAAGATAGTTGGATTTCGATGTTGGTCGTCATCCTGAATGACTTTTATATGAATATTTTGATGCGATATAATTTTAATTTTTTTGGTTATTAATAAAATTTAGTTATAGCTGTTAAAAGAATATTTTACTTTAAGTTCCTTTATAAAGATGTAATCTATTTTACTACTGGATCTAATAATATGGTTTATATCACGAGTTTAAGATTGAAATGCTAGGTCTTCATCATTATACTCTTGGAGTAAATGACTTTTGCTTTACTATTTTGTTCACTTTTTAACATAAAGGTGTAACTTTCCCTAAATTTTATGAAAATTTGAGGTTAAAAATTGTTATTTTTTTAATGTTTTGGATTTGAGAATAATGTTTAATGTAATATATACATGTTTATTAATCTGGGATAAATATCAAGCAGTATATGTTTACACTCACACCCATGATATTTATAGTGCTCGATTATGGGACCTTAAAAAATAAAAACAATTCTTTTACTACCAAAGTCGTTTGGTTCTTGCGTTTGCATTCATTTTAAAATAGACCATTGAACTTTACTCTCTCTTATTTTACTCATTGTACTTTAAATCCATTCAATTTCCTCACTGAATTTGACACAATTAACATTTTTGATCACTCAACCGTTTTCTCACTAAACGACGTTATAAATGGGCTGTTATATAAATGCAAAACGACGTCGTTTTGGTGAAAATTTTGTTTTTCTAAAACGAAGTCGTTTTAACGCCATTAAATATTTAACGGCTGGGTGAATAAAAAAAAATCTAATTGTATTAAATTCAGTGAGAAAATTGAACGGATTTAAAGTACAACGAATAAATAAGAGAGAGAATAAAGTTAACTAATGATTGGTGTAATTTACCCTTATAAGAAATAGGGTGGATTGAAGAAAGGATGTAGTGGCAAAACTATGATATAAAGCCTTCTTGTTGATATTAGTTGGAGTATAATTGTTGTCGAGTATAGTAGAAATTGATATAATTAGCTAAATATTTTGTGATTTACAAGGATTAAATTCTTGAAACTAAAAGTGAAGGGGTTAAATTTACAAGGAGCGGCAGCAGAATTAGACCAAAGAAATGACAATACTTTAGAATCCTTAGTAGGATAAAATGAGTGGTCTTGCGTGATTTTTCTTTCAATTCTATCGACGTGGCTCACTTACTGGCCCTTAGATTTGACCCCACGAAACTTCCCCTCTCTTTTTCTTGCCCGTCATTCACTACAACTTTGGCCTTTTGCCGTCGAGCAATCGACTTTTAAAAGGGAAAATGAAACAACAAAAAAGACAGGGAAAAGATGTAATTACGATTAATGTCTTTTATCAAAATTAAAATTCGAAATGTAATCCTTATACTTTAATTTAACCTAATTTAATTTTTACTTTTATATTATTAAAGCAAAAAAGCATATGAGGTTTTTATACTTTTTAAAAAACCCAATATGATCATCGAATTTTTTTTAATGTCGCCCTCAAACTCAAACATGATAGATAGACCGTCACATCAATATCGTGAATTGATAACTCAAAAATATTGGTCAAAAGGGTCATATTGGTTTTTTCTCTGAGTTGAAGGGCCGCATTAGTTATTTCAAAAAAATACAAGGACCTTTGATGATTTTTTTACCTAAATAAATCAAGTTTATAAGCCTTCAATGATTGAGATCATCATTATATTAAAACCTTCAGACCAAGGGAAAGAAACCCTAAATAATGCCTGTTTTAGCTTTAAACTAAGGTAAATTCACTGTCCTTAAGACAAAGGCAACCTTAACTCCTTAAGAAAAGGACAGCGCCCAGAGTCACAACGAAACAGAAAAGCACCCGATGGACGCACATGAATTCTCTACCAAGTAGTGATTGGGTTTGGCCTCGGCCTCGCAGATCATTATCAAGCATTCATGGCCTTATCTGGGTTTCACTCTGTGCAGGTTGAGGTTTTGGTCAAATGGTCTCTCGGGGGAAAAAGGGTTCTCGCTCGAAGGAACGTATCAATAATGCGTCCAAACACCTATCAATTAAGAGTAGGGGACCGGCTGATTTGTCGTCGTCCCCGAAATACTTTGTAGTTAATGTTGCCTTGTCGGAGTCTTCGATACAGGACAAGGAATACATTCATGGTGGTGCTTGTCTTTTAGTCAGTTCACAACGCTTTAATGCTACCTGTAGTTTTGCTAGAATGTTTTCACATGTTTTTTGGGATTATTGAAACCCAAATATTACGCTTAACTATCCGTGATTAAAATGAATCTCAATGATATACACAAAATCTCGATAATAATAAAAAAATATTTTTATTTTTTGAAAGCTCGAGTTTTAACACTATAAATATTAAAGATGTGAACGTTCAATATCTAATGATTGAACAAATATTACTATGTACTTTAATCGAGTTCATCTGTAAACTTGAGTTTCATAAATTATAAAAGAATGATCTTTTTCATTGAGATGTTACACAACTTGCAGAAGAAATATAAGGAAGATTTACAAATCTCAGTTCCACGTTAACAAAATGACAGTAAATTTGAAAGAAAAAAAGAAGTTATATCCAATTATGCTGGCAATACTGGTATGGAAGTATTATTAACAGTCACGGTCATCATGCTCGAACTATCCACAACATTATTTGTATCCAAGTCCAAACCGGCGGCCCATCTCCGAAGAATCCGTAGCAGCGATGCCGCCTTCCGTCTCCCTCTCATGGTTCCGTTCCCCATCACTTCCCATAAAATCCTTTCGATCCCCGGAATCGTCGCCAACTCCGCCACAACCTCTGATCCCCCTTTTCGACAAATCATAACCAAAACAGCAGCCGCGCTTTCCCTTGAATTATCTGACCCTTCCCTGAGTATAACAGCTAGTTTTTTAATGGCATAGACGGCCGCCGCAATTGCCGCCAATCCGCCTCTCCTCACCACTGCTTCGAGTATCGTCACCACCTCCTCCGGTAGCTCGTCGATGACTCCGCTCACCATTTCGATCACCCCTCCTTCGACTAACCTCCCAACGGTCTCCCTGTCTCCCGCTAAATTCAAAATTGCCACGAGTGCATCCCTTTGGGAGTTCGTAGGTCCATCTTTAGCTAAATTGACCAATCCCTTGATGACACGTGTCTTCCTGCCTAAACTTTTCTTGTACGCGTGAACGCCAGATAGGCTGAATATTGTCGCCGCAGCGTTGCCTTTGGCCTCCCAGGTAGCACCCGAACGTAGCACCTCGATGACGCCGTTTAAAGCTCCGTCAGTCTCCATGATCCTCGTCTTGTTTGCTTCTAAGATGGAAATATTAAGGATTGTAGTGACGGCGTTGACTTGGAGGTTTGGGTGGTGAGAGCCAACGTCCGAACCTAAATATCTGACGAGGGTCGGAATCGCTCCGGCTTCGGCGATGCAGGCCCGGCTATCGGAGTCGGTTTTAGACAAAGCGCGAAGCTCGTAAATAACGCCGTTGGCCGCCTCCATTGACTGAGATCCCGAGAGCTTGTTGACTAAAAAGGAAACCGTCATTTTCGTAGCTTCAAAGGCGGCTTTAGTAGCTTTAACGCCGTTAACTTTCTCGTTACTTCCTACGGCTTCAAACGGAATTCCTTGTTCGCGGCACCACATAGCTATAAGATTTCTCAAAGAGCGGTTAGAGATGAGGTTACTGTGGGCCAGGTTCTGACCTGTTTTAGGACACGTGGAATGTCCAGAATCAATCCACTGATTAATCGATTCCCGATCGTACGTCTGTCCCGTCGCCACGACCACCGGGTCCCGCATCAACTCGAGGCTAATCGGACACCGGAAATCCGCCGGGATAGTTAAATCCGACATTGATTTTCGCCGGCGATGATCCGATTGACGTGCCGTCGAAGATCCAAACAGAACGCAATTGGCGTAACGAACGAGGCCGATCAAAGAAACGATATCCGATTTGGATTTCTCGTCGTTTTGGTTCTGGATTTCTTCTTGTAGACTCTCGATTTCTTCTCTGCAGCTGGAATTATCACGCAATCCTAAATCCTCGACGACTTTTTTTAGCTGGAAAGGATCGGGGACGATCTCTTTTTCGATCCGATCCAACATGGCCAAAACTTCCAGCAGGAGAAATTCGTCTCTGGGATCTACTAACGGCTTCGATTGGGAACACTGTTTTCTCACCAAACCCACGAGTTCTTCAACGTCTTGACTCAGCTCAACTTCTTTGAAAGGGAAAATATCGAGGAGAGTGGATAATTCGAGGGTGAGTTCATGGAAACTATTTGACAAAACTCGGATTTGCATCAGCAGCCACATCTTGCTTCCATTTGAACAATCCTCGATCAGGGTTTTAACCCTCTGCAAAACTATATACATTTCTTCGAAGCACAAGAGGGTCGAAGGGGAGAAGAAATTCGAAACCGGGTTTCGAACCAGCTCCTCGAATAAGATGGAGAGAAGCTTGGTTTTGTTAATAACTGAAAGGGAGTTTCGTTTTAGGAGACACTGAAGAGGTTTAAGAGAAGAGATTTCTTGAGACAAAGAAAGCAGAGATTGTACCAGGTTCATATCCGCGAGTTTCGGAGATATGAAGGAGCCCGCCGACGGCCGCCGCTTTCTCGGCGGGAAAACTTGAGGAGAAACTGCCATGGAAGGACAATAACAATACCCAAAAAGGAAAGCAAATTCTCGAATGATTTCTGCAACAAAGGAAAAGACTCAATTGTATAGTTTTTTTGAAGAAGGAATTGCAGTAGTTGATTACGAAAAGAAAAGGTTGCCAACAAGATAGAGTTTGGCCTATCTTCAATTGCAATTAAAATAACCATTATATCAAATATTATTAATTATTATTAAACTTTTATAAATTAATTAATAAATTTAATATTAATGGAAAGATTATAAAATGCGTAATTAACTAATATGTGACTCTATACTGATTTAGTCCATCGATCAATAAAGGTTAGTTCAAGTAATAAACAATTTGATATTGTTTAAATAAAATCTCGAGTTTGAATCATTAAGTATGCAAAAAACTCATGTCAAGAGACTTAACTACTAAAATCAAGTGTACGACATGAATCAATTCGAATTAATTAAGACGAAATCTTAAAATGAAAAAACAATAAAATGTATTTTAGATGAGGGGAGGGGTTGGTTTTTGACTAAACTTTTATGTGTTGATGGCTTAGCTGTAGCCTTTGGTGCGTCGTTGAGGCGGTGGCCAAATGAAAAAAAGAAAGAGATAATGATGGTTCGGATTCGGCGGGCTGTTTACCAGGTATGAATTTCACCAATAATATTATTTGTCTAATTATGGTTTTAGTCCCTTTATTGTGATTAGAATTGATATTTAATCCTCTACTTTCAATATAATTTGATCCTCAACTTTTATAATGTTATTAGCAGGTCTAAATTATAGTGACAACGTGAGTTTTTAGAATTATCTTAAACACTAAACTGATTTATAAATTATTACAAATTAGAAGATAATAGATTTGAATTAATATATTATAAATTATTTTTTAGAATTATCTTAAGTATTAATATTTTTGTTTAATTTTTTACTTTAATTATTTTAATATGTTGAACTCTTAGAATTTTTTAGTTTGACATAACTTAGTCCTCTATTTTTATAATTTCTTATTATTATGTGTGCATTGACATCACATGTAATTCTTTAAAGTGGTGTCATCGATTTTTCTTAAAAAAACAAAAGGTATTTTTTTTAATAAAAAGATGAACCTCGTTAAAAAATATTCTAATTCTAAAAAAGGGGAAAAGAATGTCCGAAAAAATATATTACCCAAAATCAATATTATTCGATAAATCAATAGTAATAAGCTCGGGTCAAATAAAGTCAAACATCGTTTGGGATCAAATAACAATATAATATATATATATATATTTCACTTTAATGAGAGAGAGAAAAACTAACGGTATATAATTTGAACATGCCAATAAGTAATAATATTATAAAAGTAAAATGATAAAATTATTTCAATTATATAAGGATTAAATCCCAAATACTGATATAGTAGAGTGACTAAAATTAGAATTAAACCAGAATTATTTGCATAGGAAGGAAAAGTTCATCACATTGTTGAGGTCCACTTTTCCAACACATTGCCGGCTCCCTCATCTGATTTTACAGATCATCAACTCGATTTATCAGTTATCCATTCGGCCGGTCACTTCAATAAAAAAGGTTAAAATATATATTGGCCCCTAAAGTTATATATGATTATCAATCAAGTATCTGAAGAACTTTTTAGTTCATTTTAATCTCTGAATTTTCAATAACGGTGTACATTATCCAAACCCATTTCTTATTATAGAAGTTCGACATGATACTTATATAAAAAAAGACATAATATTTGCTAATTTTTTAATAAAAAAAACTACAAAAACAGTCCTAGCAAGTTTGAAAAATTCATATTTTCTCATCTAACAAATTGAGAATTTTTTATTTCTTTAAAATTATTTTATGATTTAAAAAAAAAATCGATCTAATATATTATATGACCCGTGTGACATATTCATAAAATGTCTAAAGTAACTAAAAACATATAAGAGAAAAACTATTTTTGATGATAACTAAAAATAAATAAAACCAGTGATGGACCCAAAAATATTTTGTAGGGTGAACACACATATGTTACCAACATAAAATTTATGAATGAGACGAGTACTGATAAAATTTTAGGGTGGGCATTTTCCGTAAAATAAGTAACTAATCCAAGAATACTTATATTTCAGGATGGACACGAAAAAATTTCAGAATTAGCGCCATCAATAAAATAAGTAACTAATCGAAAAAAAAATTAGATTTTAGAATAGAAATGTGCCCACCCTCACCAAACTCACCAAGATATGGGAATAAAACCCTAATTTTGATTAATAAGATAGTAAAATAACTAAAATTAAAATATTTAAAAATTTAGTATTAAAATCGATATCCATATTAAAATTCGATGACTAATTCAAGTTACGGCGGGGTGTTCAACAGCACGCCGTCATTGGAATTTATTAAAACAGTCAAAACTCAAAATTATTAAAGTTTAATAAATAATATAATATATTTGACTTTAGTAGGTGAGTCTTTCAGTGGAATTTTCTATATATACAAGAGTTTGAATTCGAGATTTGTTTAAACGATATCAAACTACTTACCACTTATTTAAGCGATATACAATAACTCGAACTCGAGACTTACTTCTTCAATGTTAGTGTGTTAAGGTGTTTGTTTCTATTCACTACAAAAAACCCATTCATGTAATGAATAATCTTGTGTCAAACCACATGTTATTTACCAAAATTATTATGATTTGTTGTCTTTTAAATATAAATTTAAAACCTTAGGAAATGAATTAAGTCTCATGTTAAACTCGAATGGATGTTAAATATTTATATATTTATAAATTTATAATTTATTAAATATGTACGAAAAGTATTGTACGTTTAGGGACGGATGCATTAAGCTCTTATAAGGGTCGAATGTATCCCATTATTTTGGAAAAATAATTAAATTTGATTTAATGAATTAAGTAAAAAAAGAAAACAAGATTAAATACTCATTATTTTTTAAAAAAAATAAAATTTTGGACTTTTAAGGGTCGAGTGTGTGTGTTTGTTGGGGGTGGGGGAATGATGTATGTGTTGGAATAAATGATGGAATGCATTGGAACATATAGTGACAATGGCATCCCAACTGCTTATTTAGGGGAATGGTATCAACAAGTTCTCAACCACCATTGTTATTGGAGGGAAATATTATTTTTATTTTATAAAAAAATTCATTTATATGTCCTCAATCTCTTCCTTACCAAACATACAAATTTAAATTTAAATATAATTATAATTATAATTATATTATAATCTACTCCAAAAATTGATAACTCAGTCTGAATATTTGAAGAAATATCGTTTAAGCAACATGGTTGATTCAAGTGGTAAACAACTTGATATCGCTTAAGCAAAATCTCAGGTTTTGAGTATTTATGCGTGTAGAACATTTCCATTAGGAGACTGACCCACCAAAATCGAATATACGATCCGAGTCGATCCAGATTAATCAAAGTGAAGCCTTAGAAATGAAGGACAACAAAAATTTTTTGGTAAAAACATGACCTATATTCCACTAAAAAAATTCAAAGCATATTCATTTGGGCTCTTGTATACCCAATGGGCACTAACATATATAAATCTAGATATACGTAAAAGAAAGAGTAAACTACACCAATGATCACTAATGTTTGAGTACGTTTTTATTTTTCTTATTAAAGTTCAAAAATAACAAATTAATCATTAATATTATCGATTTGTAATAAAACAATCACTTCACCGTTATCTCCGTCAAATTGATGATGTGACGATATTAGTAAAAAGGTTAATATTCAATTTTACCCTTAAACTACTGTTAAAATATCAAATAAGTCATGGAACAATGATTTTATATCGAATTTATCACAAAAGTTTTTAATTTAAAAGTAGAAGATATTCTATCCACCCTTATCGGATAAAAATAATAACATATAGCTAACACCCAGAATTATGAGCAAAAGTGCTTGTTTCTTTACCAGTAATTGAGTTCGTCATAGTTAGGGTTGTTATACCTAGAATCGAAATAGATATCACATACAAAACTACTCCAAATTCAGCTTTGTGCAAACAATAATACAAAAAAAAAAAACCCGATCAAAACAATGTCAAGAGTTTAAACGTTCAATGGTGTTTGATTCCCTTATGTCTAACTATCTACAACAAAATCTCTTAGTTGTGCTGAAATTAAAAAAACTCAAAAAACAAATCCACAAGTAGAAGCAGCTTCTGGACCAGGTGGGCTCCAAAGATGTTTAACACGGAGTATATCCATATCCATATTCATCTTCTGGCTCTGAGTCCGACCATATAAAACCATGCTCCGAACGCATTGTCTCCACATATTCAACTTCAGACAGCCCTGGAAAAATAAAATAAACGTATGCATTAATTTCCTAGAAGAACCATAGATAAACACATATATTTATTAGTTAAAATTTAGTAAACGGACCTTCAACTTTATCAGCTTCTTCCTCCGTCATGTAAACTAACACTATACGATGATTTCGACCGTTTAAATAAAAAATAGCTCTTTACTGTTGATGAAAAAATGGGGAAAAAAATAGCAATTTTCAATATTTAATCTAATCCAATTCAATGTACCAGTTAAACATACATATACTAATCAAACCGAATCAAATGAAAGTGGAAGAGCCATGCTTACTCAGGAAGTTCGCGTATCAGCAAGCTCGACTGTTTGTCAAAATTTAAACCAGGAAAAAATTTTACATCGTACCACTGCAATTCCACATTCAGTCACCACATAAGAAATAGTAAAGTCAACCATTTATAATCCTCTTCGAAAATCATGCAATTCATTATATGAAAACCATCAACCACAAACCAAAGGAGTAAATGTAAAACCAACCTTTCTTGCCCCCTCGTCTTTGCCGCCTGCAACACATAAAGTATTCAATGAGTAGCAAACAAGTTAAAATCAAAGACAACCACACTTTTAAGGCATGCCTGTTAAGTCTTTTGCGGAATAAAATCCACCACAACCAAATAATAGTATATGTGGATTCCCAAATTCCATAAAATCAAAACAAATGGAACAGACTCCCATAAATAGCTAAGTGAGAAAGTGAAACACAAGCATTGAAGAGGAAAATAAAAAAATCATAGAATCCACGATTACCTTCCTTTTCTTCATTCCCCATAACAGTTTCTTCAGGTTTCGCAGTCATGTCTGAATCAGCTGCACGTCATATGTGAGAAACATATCATTCAAAAGAAAAAAAGGAAAAAAATAAAGAGGGTCATTGAATACCAATTTTCTCTGCATTTTCTGACATATCTTCGTCAATCTGAGTATTTTGGATTGTGTGACTCATCTGAATTCACATGCAAATGAAAATTTATGATTCAAAATTGAGCAACCAGGCAACAAACAGAGGAAAAATAGTGGACAATAAAATCCATATGAATTTCTAAATACCAACTACAAAAACATATTGAAAGGCCAACAGGCACCTCCCACTCTTTCTCATCAATAGATTTCATTAACACCACCGTTTTCACTGCTTTTACTCCCTCAGATCTGTTTACTCCAATCTCTCTATCTTAATTTACCTCCCTTCTTCGGACCTTAATAGTTGTTTTAAAAACTCTAGCTTCTCGAATCCTTTCTTTTCTCCACTTAAACTTGTTTGCTTATGATCCGAGGAGACTTAGAACATTATTTTTCGCTTAGGATTTAATTGCTTGAGCGAATCAAATAAGGAGTCTTTAATTGGAATTATTTAGGATTTTCGGATCGCCATTCACAAAAGAATGTGGCTACGGTCGGCAACTGAAACAACCAAACACAGAGGAGAATAATAATAACAGGGAAAGGTTTTCGTTACTGAGGGAGAATCCTTGGGTAACGTAAAAAATCTGCACCGGTTGCACTAACAAGGGAGATCAATATATTTAGGGCAGGTTACGTCAAAGGTCACTAAAGTTTTAATTAGTTTCTATTTTCGCAATTGAATTTTTAAAAATTACAAACAAACACTAATATTATTATTTTATAACATAACAATAACTCAACAGTTAACCACTGTCATTTCAATTACGAAAGTATGATGTGTCAATAAAGTAATGCCACATCATCAGTGAAAAATAATAAAAAATACACCATTGTTGAAACCACCCAAGTAGCCACATCCAATTTTGAAGACAGAAGCGAGGCAAGTGTTGATAATATTCATCCAGATATTCAAAATGATAAGAGTACTGATGCAAATGCCGAAAACCCTATGGATTATGGTAATTATGCAAATGATGAGTTGAATATTGATCCAAATCCTGGGAACTATCATGTAAATTATGCTGATTATAGCAACTACCAATTGGGTGTTGATCCGAATAGTGGGAGCACTGATGTTGCTACTACTACTTATGGGAGTTATGTGAATTACAATGTACAATATGAGAATAATTGGGTTGATGGGTCAGCAACAACTATGCCGGAGCCCTCAGGGATGGCTGAACTTGGGGTGAAGTTGAGGGAATGAGAGGGAGGAATGAGATACCAACAGAAATTGTTGAGGTGAAGCAGGATGAGCTTATGAAGAATCGGCTGAGGGAAGATCAGGTTAAGATGACCGTGATAGCTTTTGGGCCATCTTATCAGGTATTGAACTTAAAACATAATTTACTTTATCAGCTTGTCGGTCTAATTTTTGTCTAATGATATTTGCATTGCCATTTGATCCTGGTTTGGCATGAGCTAGTTGTTTGTCTCTTTACTGTTGTAGCTATTATTGTTAATGTTTTAGATTTCGAATAAATTATTTCCACAAAACAGCATACCAATCAACTGAATTCCCATCGACAGTTTCTTCTGGTTTCCATAAATAAAACTAGATTGAACACTCCCATAAAATTCAAAATAGCTAAGTGAGAAAGTGAAACTCAGAAGCATTGAAGAGGAAAATAGAAAAGAATAGAATTCCAAGATTACCTTCCTTTTCTTCCCCCGCATAACAGTTTCTTCAGGTTTCGCAGTCATGTCTGAATCAGCTGCACGTCATATGTGAGAAACATATTGTTAGGAACAGGTCTGCAATTTCAAAGAAAGAAGAAAATACAGAAAGATAGAGAAGCAAGAGGAGTTGGAGAAGAGAAGTATTTTAATTAACAATTTGCAATGTCCATTCTGTTACAGCTCCTTTTCCTTATAAAGCAATAAACTCAATGCATAAATTCATCTGTCTTTGGCTCTTTCTTATCAACATATTTAGAGATGCATCTATCACCACAACTCTCATAATCCCCTTGAAATGAGCAATATCTTGCCCATTAGCAACAACCCTAAGGCCACGAGGGTCTTCCACTTCCATAAACTCATTAAATTTATAAGCATTGATTTCCCATGCCGATTAGTGCAAGCATGAACAATTCCTAAATAACACTTATCTGTAGTTCCGGAAGCAATTTCATCCTTAAAACATATAACATATAAAACATCACTTGGCTTGTCCATTGCACCCTTATAATTTTTTTCAATCATTAAATAACTGATTTCGTGTTCCTGGTGATGTGTCTGGCAAGTGTTTGATCATTGTTCAATGTGAAAGCTATCATCAAATACAGTCGTCATACCTAATTTCACCGTCCTGTTTAGCAATTCTTCACCCTTCATCTCCTCGCCATGGATTACCAATTCTTCACCCTTCATCTCCTCGCCATGGACTACCAATTCTTCACCCTTCATCTCCTCACCAGGATTACCAATTCTTCACCCTTCATCTCCTCGCCAAGGATAGAGAGCCCGTAATCATTGGGTTGACGAACTGAAGAATCAAGTCCCTCATTTTTCTGAACCAGTTGATCAGAAGTTTTAGTGTTAACTGATGTTGACATTTTGTCAAACACCCGGTGGAGCTTTGTGCCTGAATCGTCTAGCTTGATTTTCACTTTCCCCGATTCATAGATTTCAGGTTGTGCTTTGGACGTCAATCCTAACTGTGATGATATAACTGCTAGTTGACATTGCACATCTTGAAGAGTCCGGTGGATCATTTCGTACACTTGTTTCTGCTCTTCGGCATGCACTAGCAGAGAACCCAGCAAATGTTCGTGACGAGCAAAGTCTCATGCAGACTTTTAATGGCCTCTGTATCATTCACCATAGCTTAGTCTCTCAACGAGAGCACAAATGTTAGGAAAAAGAGAAAAACATAGAATTACAGTATTACCTTTCTTTTCTTCACCCCCCATAACAGTTTCTTCAGGTTTCGCAGTCATGTCTGAATCAGCTGCAGTCATATGTGAGAAACATCCATTACTTATCATTCAAAAGCGAAAAAGGAAAAAAGAGAGAAGCTCGTTGAATACTAATTTTCTCTGCATTTTCCGACATATCTTCCTCACTCTGAGTATGTCCTATTGTGTGACTCATCTGAATTCACATGTCAAACGAAAATTTATGATTCAAAATTGAGCAAACCAGGCAACAAACAGAGGAAATATAGTTGACAATACAATTCATATGAATTTCTAAATACTAACTACAAAAACATATTGAAAGGCTAACAGACGCCTCCACTCTTTCTCATCAATGGATTTCAACGCCACCGATTTCACTGCTTTTACTCCCTCGGATCTGTTTTAGTCCTAATATCTATCTTAATTTACCTCCCTTCGGACCTTAATAGTTGTTTTGAAAACCCTAGTTCTCGAATCCTTTTTATTCTCCATTGAAACTTGTTTTCTTCACAGCAGAGCTTTGACACTGAGAGGCTTAGAACATTGATTTTCGCTGATGGCTTGAACGAAGGTTTTTTATTCGAAAGTTATTTAGGGTTCTAAGTTACGAGGGATGGGCAGTGATGATTGCACAGATTCGAAGGCATGTACAGAACAACAATTTGATTTGGGGAATAATGTTATGCTAGGGTTTGAAAATTTTCATTATCGATTTCGTTGAAATTCAGAGGAGATCATCGCCGTTAACGAAGGAATAATGTTTTTGAATAAAACAAAGATAGAGACGACAGACAAATCTTTACCGGATGGCTGGCAACAGTGGCTACGGTCGACGACTAAAACAACCAAAATCGGAGAGAGATATAACAGGTAAAGGTTTCGTTCCCAATATAGAGTTTGTCGCAAGGAAAGTAATCTATTTTAAATTAAATTATATAATATTTTTATTTTTTTTTAAGGTAATGTATAATAATAGTACCCACATTTTAGAACGCTTGAATTTAGTCACCCAACTTTTAAAAAATACAATACAGTTATTAGACTTTTTCGTAAAGTCATTATCGTTACGTCCTTTTAGTTTTTTCTGACTAGACATTTAATTATCGTTAGTTCTTCTTCTTCTTCTTTCCAAAAGCCTCCAAAAGTTCAACCCAACATGAACAAATCCCAACAGGCCACAATACAGGCGTCATACTTAATTTCACCGTCCTGTTTAGCAATTCTTCACCCTTCATCTCCTCGCCATGGATTACCAATTCTTCACCCTTCATCGGGAAACTGTTGCAAATAGCAAAGGGACGAACTGTCATTTATCGTTGCTAGGTGCCACCTTCCTCGGGAAACTGTTGCAAGTTGCAAAGGGACGAGCTGTCACTTATCGTGCTAGGCAAGCGTCAAAGACCACTCGTGAACGTACACGTGTCAATAAATAATTGAATTATGCCACGTGGTAAAGGATTTTTTTTTTTGTCTGTCGTTTGTCCCAGACTTCTCTTACTGGTCTTTCAAAGTCGAAAACAAGTTGTCGTTTTAAGAACGTTTGGTGTATCATTAACTTTTAGTTCATTGACATAACGTCACCACTAACGTCAAGCAATATATTTTTTTACACGAACCGAGCTATATTAGTGTTAAAGGAATTATTGCTATGTGATTATGGTTCAAACATCAAGAATGTTACGAATGTATGATAGTAGTTATCTTTACATAAGTATAATCTTATATTTACCCCCTATTATATATATATATATATATATATATATATATATACTTTATTAGTACGAACTCAACGATCTTAATAGTTAACTTTTAAGGTCGCGAGTTTAAGTACCGTAAATATTAAAAATATGAACGTTCATTATTATATGATTAAGAGTCTTTAAACAAATATTATCTTATATTAACCTTAGATTTATCAAAAGCAACAATTTATAGTTGGGGAATCATTTATGTATTTTACCCTTTAATTTATTGTATCTTCATTTTTTTGTTATTGGTAAATTTGATTGTGTAATTTACAGCATCTCCTTATAAATAGTAAAAGTTATCATCTTTGTTTCTTGCAGTCCTAAGCCAAGAATGATCCAACAGCATCAGTGAACCATGGAACTGTAATCAATCAAATTCCACCAACTAAACATCTTAAAAACATTCTCAATATTGTAATTCTTATACACACAATTGCAAATATATATATATATATATATATATTACAAGAGCAGATCCTCCTGGAATTACAGATGATTCAACTACTAAGAATCTGCCGTTAATGCTTGCTTTCCTCCATCACAGGCATGAACTATGGTGCAAACATCAGTTGTTTGCAGAAAGTGCTCTGCATTCACAAGGATCAGAGGCCCGTACTCGAAAACCATCCGCTTACACTGGCAACAAACAAAAACACATGATCCTTGGTTAGGAGTTCAACATGTCCATGGGAAAAGAGGAACCAAACCGGTTAACAAGCAAAAACACGATAAGTCGAATTCTGAACGTTGAGAGATTTATACTGTAAATAAATCTATAATTGAGAGAAGTGTGTATCCTTTGATAAAATGAATATAAAAATGCATAAAAACTCGAGCTTAAAAAGTTGCCAGTAAATTCTTTAATTTCACTCACCTTTTGCACGTAGTTCTGCATCGAGTTGCATCCCTTCAAAAGGAGCTGAATTATATCCAACTGGAACCATTGAACCAAAGGAGGAGATTAAAATTATCATTCAACCAAGCTAAAGTTTCTATTCGAAGCGTATATTTTCTGTACAAAACTTTAAATGCAAACTTTGTCGATAAAAATTATGCATGCACCTGTGTGTGAATTAGTCCCAAGTATGTCCATATAAACTTATTTGTAAAGATCAAACCTTGTAGACACACATGTAGTTTTAAGAAATACGGGAGTAAAGCAAACCTTTGTCTCGGGATCTTGCAGCTTATTTAGTACTTCAGAAACAGTATGGTGGCACATGCCACAGCTATTTTCGCGGATTCGTGAAGATATAAGTGCGACTTTTTGACAAAGGTTGAATTTTGTGCAGAAATCTTGAGGTTGAATAGAAGATATTTCCAAGAAGAAGAGAGAAGAATAGTAGTCCACGAGCGTAATGCACTGTGTAATATAAACCAGATATTTATTATTTTTGAACTTGGGTGGGGGGGGGGGAATAATGAATATCGGTTGAAAAAGAAATTCAAAATATTTCATGCTTTTACCTGCTTCTTAAAAGTTGGTATACGTGAGCAACTCGTGTGAAGCATTTCAAATATCTCGGTCTGGGTCTTGTTCTGCGAAAGGTATTCAACTGCCTCGACAGTAAATTCCTCACACAAGGTGCACACCTTGTCGTTCCGAGCAACCTTTTCTATTACTTCCTCATCTGGTCCCTGGTTTATCTGCACAACTGAACCAGAGTTCCGAGGCATTGCACTTTGATTATTTTCTCACTTTCATTGAACAATCTTAATTCAAAAAGTTGAATAATTTGCAAACTAATTTCAATGGAGAAAGGAATCAGGCACCGCATTCAGCATTCAATAGTTATTTCAAATTTAAGGTGCAAAACCCGAGCCAACCCTGATGACTTGGACACTGTGTGTGAGCACCGTCTTTACAAAACCAAAAGGACCGTGGAACCCTCCTAAAACCTAACCCGAATGAATCCCAATAGCTATCCAATAGCAGGCTCCATCTTAATTCCCATACCAAGTTTGGAATTCAACTTCGAATTATTAATCATTCATTTCATTAAACACATTTGCAACCAACTTAAGGACCTTAGAACATATTCATCAGCAGACTTTAGTTCAGCTTCGGCAATTATTACCCTATAAACAGAGTATTTCTCGTATCACCTCCCCCTCCCCTCCCCTCCCCCTCTGCAGCAAATATATGGAAAAGAAAAGTCCAAGTGAATTACCTGATGCATCGGAGATTACTACCTCGACAACTTCTAGATGTCTAGCATTACATGCCCAGCTAGCACCCAACACAAAGAGGAGCAAGAGCCCGAATCTCGCATCCATAATGCCTGGAATTATTCATTAAATAGCTTGAGAATCCCATAACCAAAAGGAAGCATGTTAAAAGCAAAGTCAAAACCTTTCGTATCAACATAACCAAAGAGATGAGTCCTTAAACTAACACCCAAATCACTCAACAGGCGTGTCCATAATTGAAAAGGAGATATATCCAAATACACAAACTAATTTGACCTTCAATTAGGGCTGTAAATAAGACGAGACAGACTGCAAGCTACTTGATATCAACTCGGTCAAAACTCGATAAATACTCGACTCGAGTTCTTAACGAGCTGAGAGAGTTACTTGATATTCGACTCGAAAAGCTCGTGTGCAACTCGAAAATATAATATATTGAAATTTTATTTTTTAAAAAATAAATTATTAATAATGTGTTACATTTTTAAAAAAAAAATTGCAGTAGAATGTTTTCGATGTATTTAAGGTTCTTGTTCGAGTTTGAGGCTTCAATTAAGTTAAGTTTAAGATTTTTCTTTATTTCAGTTCATGATTTCAAGTTCGAGTTGAGCTCCATTTCAGAGCTTTCGAGTCGGTCAGCAATACTCGAGCTCGACTCGGCTCGTTTACAGCCCTACCTTCAATTACTAGCTGTAAGCTTCAAACAATTTTGGTCAAATAGCAATTTAGGTCCCTATTGCTTTGAGTATTGATAAAACGATGCCTTGTCCCCCTTCAAATTTTGGGTTTAAATCCTTAATAGGTCTATGTTCCGAAATCAAGAATTGAATTTTATAGTTCCAGATTCATATTATCGACACTAATATCAAAATGAAACTAGTTGAAAAGCAGAATATTTCTACGCCAATACATAAAAGCTTATAATAAATCCATATTCCGAGAGCCTTCAGATGAATAAACAAAACCAGAAACATGACGAACAGAAACAAAGAAAAAGAAGAAAACCCATCAAAGATTTCAGCACAAAATTAACAAAAAAAGAATCAAGAGAAACCAATTATGAAACAAACCCAGATTAACATAGCGTAAAATATATGAGAAATGGATAGAAAAACAGAGAATTAATGGAAGCAAGGGGGGGTTTCGTTACCTGGGGGGGAGGAAGGTCAAAGCGGAGACGGAGATGGAGAAGAGATACGGATGTTTATTCCCCTTGGAATTGGTCGTTGGCCTTTCTTAAAACATATCCGTGCTCTAGGTTTCGTTACTCTGCGGTCGATAACAGTCTTCTGTTGTTGAAATCCTTTGTCACGACTGTCTCCTTACCGTTGGATTAAAATTCATCAGTTTAGAATTTTATGATTGTTAGATTTATGTCCGGCTTCGATCATTTTTATTGTTTAAAAAA